CCCTGGATCCTTCACAGGCCGAGGGGAGCAGAGATGCCCACCAGCCTGAAATGCCCCCTGGGATAGTTACAGAAGAGAGAGACAAACAGATTCTTTAAGCCACCCTGTTTCGGGGTCTTTGCTACAGCAGCCCGAAATCAACCGAAGGAATAAACCTGCCTTGGCCTCAGAAATGAAGTCTTTATCGAAAGAGTATTTATCGTTCTAGTAAGTGGTAAGTGGAAAGGAGGGTGCCAAGTTTTATTGCCCTTCCCCCCCACCCCAGGAGAATCAAAGACACTAAGAGGGGCTCAAGAGATCAAGGCAGACCCCACCCAAGATATTTTCTCCCCCAACATTTCACGTTGCAGGACTGGGAGGGGATGACTCCCAACCTTTCTCAAATAACCTTGTGAGACGCAGTGCGGGCAGGTGGCTCCCAGGAGAGATGGGTATGCCGGCTGCCAGTACCCCAGGCCGGCTCTGAGGAAAGCAGCTGACACGTGGGCCCACTGGTTTCCTGTCTCCTAAAGCAGTTTCTCTCCAAACTCCTCCCCCCACCCAGGGCTGGCTGCTGCGCTCCTTAGAGGGGAGCTCCTGCAGAGCAAGCAACGAGAGAAGAGGCCTGAGCCCTCCCCTGGAGAGCCCACCGCGGTGAGCACGAGTGAAGTGGGGGAGGGATGTGTCCTCCAGCACAAAACCCAGCACCCCCGCACTGTCCTGCGAGGGGAGGCGCCGCAGGACCCTGAGAGCTCTGGGTAAGAGGCGACCCAGCTTCTGGGTCAGCATCCTCGCTCAGCAAAGACAACTACCTGCCATTCACACACCTCAGAAGGAGGTGCCCCATGACCGGCAGTGATGGAGAACACGAGGCGGTCACACTGCAGGAGGGAATGACATCTGTACCCGACCCAGCAAGACGCAGGATTCCACCCAAAAAGGAAGGGACAGCCTGGGCTGGGGGCTGGGCGCCGGGAGGCTCCTGGGGCCACATCGCTGCCCCTGCAGGGGCAGGACCCTGGCTCCCGGTGTCCTTGTGGCCCCAGCGGAGGCCCAGGCGAGGGAGGGGGAGGGAGCTGTTGCCCACTTGTCACTCACCCTGCAATGCTTCTTTGGCTCTGGCTAGCTCCTGCCCCTTCTGGGCCAGCTGGACCCTGAGCTCGGTGGCCGCGAGGACCTCGGAGGACTTGCCGCCCTGCGACTCCTCCAGGTCCTTCATCAGCATCTCCTTCATCTGCCGGAGAAGGTGGACTTCCTCCTGGAGCCGGGACACTTCCTCCCGCAGCAGTGCTAGGGGACAAGGGCACACGGTTAGAGCGGGGGACAGTGGCTCCCGCTCGCTCACTTTTCTGGGGACAGTTTGAAGGTGCTTTGGCTTTCCCTGTTTGCTCTGCATTCAGGGCCTGTCCTACTATGTGTAGGAAAACCCCCGAAAGACCTTATTGCAAGGAGGCCCCGCCCCAGTCCTGGGCCCCGCCCACAGTCTGCAGAGCACACCTGGCGGGACTCCCTGCCTCCCACCACACTCTCTAGGGCTCTCAGGGGTCAGCACTGCAGTCCCAAGCCAGCAGCACTCCCAGTTACGCTTTACGTGCTTTACCTTGTTTACCAAAACCTCCAGAGGCTGGATGCTTCACCCCCATCTCACAGACTAGGAAGTCAAGGCTCGGAGAGATTAAGAAACTCCACGAGGGCATAAAGTGAGTAGGTAGCAGAGGTGGGATGTGAACCCAGACCTGGTCTGGGTAGCAGAGGTGGGATGTGAACCCAGACCACAGTCAACGCGACAGTATTACTCAGGACAGTGCACACCCGGGCCGAGATGCTCACCTCACTCAGAGACCGATTAAAAGAGCTTCTGACGTAGAGAATGGACTTGAGGACACGGGAACGGGGAAGGGTAAGCTGGGACGAAGTGAGAGAGTGGCGTGGACGTATATACACTACCAAATGTAAAAGAGATGGCTATTGGGAAGCAGCCGCATAGCTCAGAGCTTTGGGACCACCTAGAGGGGTGGGATAGGGAGGGTGGGAGGGAGATGCAAGAGGGAGGAGAGATGGGGATGTATGTGTATGTATGGCTGATTCGCTTTGTTATACAGCAGAAAATAACACACCATTGTAAAGCAATTATCCTCCAATAAAGATGTTAAAGAAAAAAAAAAAAAAGAGGTTCTGAGATGCTCATGGAAGCAGGCCCCGGGGCGGCTGGCCTTGGCCTGAATCACTAAGCTCACACATCGCTCTCTCCCTTTTCCCCACCCTCCTGCACGCTGGTCCCTCTCTGTGCGACAGGCCAAGCTCTTTCCAGCCTCAGGGCCTTTGACCCTGCAGGGCCCTCCACCTGCGACACCCTGTTCTTCCAGTGACACAGCCGCCCCCGACACCACCCTGTCCCATGCTCCCATGGTAGCAGGGGATGCAGTCCTCGCCTGTGAGGGGCAGAGGGCACGGCTGCAGCACGGCTTTCGAGGGCCCGGGTCTCCGGTCTGGCTCCCTCGCTGACCAGGAGTGTGATCACGAGCAAGTCCCTTCCCCTCTAAGCCTCACATGCCCCTTCTTTAAAATGGGTCTAACCCTCGTGGGGTTGAGACGCAGGAGGAAGCCTGGTCCAGGGCATGTGCTCAGCGTATACTGAGAGTGCTCAGTGCCGGTGAGACGGGGGCTGCGTCTCCCCAGGCGCCTGACCCTCTTAGCGGCACCCGGCGTTCTCTAAGGCGCTACAACCTGCACTCCTTGGGGAGCCTGGACACGAAGGCAGAGCCAGGTCTAGGGTGGGGGCAGGCCACGGGGAGCAGAGCTGAGGCCTCGGGGACCCGGGGTCCCTCCACCCCGAGAAGCCTGGAGAAGGGCGGCACTGGCTGCAGCCCCTGTTCCCTGGTCTACATCAACCGCCTCCTCCGAGGCCACCTGGGTCCAGCTGCCACCCACACAAGGGGAGGCCGCCCTGCCCTCCCAGCTCCTTGACCCCCCACCCAACCTCCCCACAAAAGCCTGAAATGCAGGGCGTCCCACCTCACTCCTGCACTGAAAACCCTCCCTGGCTTCCCACCCCATCAGCCCATCTGAGGCCTCCCTCGGGCCTGCGGGGGGACTTTCAGTTCTGGAAGGTGCTAGACTTGTCCCGCCTCAGGGCCGCTGGAAGAGCTTCCTTCCTTCTTCGCAGGTTCCTCCCTGTCGGGCAGTCTCAGCCCTACTGTCACCTCAAGAGCCCTAAAGAGACCCTCACCCGTGGTCCACTTCTGACAGCAGTTTGGACAATGCACCCCAAACCCCTCGTTAATGTGGGAGGCCCACCCACGCGCTACCGTGTGCGCGCCCAGTGGGCACGGCTCCCCGAGAGCAGGCCGGGTAGCTCTGCTCTAGCTCATTCGCCGAGGGGTCTCAAGTGCCCTGAATACTATATGGTGACACACGACAATCGAATGATCTCCTCCAGCCACCCGTCCACCCAGCAAGAGTTCATGGGCACCTGCCCCAAGCCAGTTGCTGCTTAAGGCACTGGAGACCCTGGGTGAAGGTCCCAGACAGGTCCCACCCTCAGGCCGGTGCTCCCAAACCCCACAGTGAACACGGACTGCAGAAACCGAAACCTGCACCCCGGGGAGCCAGGCTGTCTGCAAGGGACCTCCTGGTTGCTCTGACATGGACGGACTCAAGTGCAGGCTGGGAACTGTCCAGGTCTCTTAGCAAAACTGCAAAGCAGGAGGTTTGCATTGGGGTCCCCTCCCCTGCCCTCATTCCAGACAAACATCTGCAGGTCGCCTGTTAAGGCAGGCCTGGCGCAGGGTGTTCAAAACGAAGGGAACACCCTTGGCCTCGAGAAATCTCCAGCAAGTAAAGGCAGCACACACAAGTAAGCATAATACAAAGCAGGTGCGGCATGTGCTTGGAGCACAGGAGCACTTGAAATGGGCCTCGGAAGACGGCAGGGCAGTGAGCAGCGGGGACAGTACGAACAAAGGCAAGAAGGCTGGAAAGGCCCCTGGGCAACCCGTGACCAGTACCAGGTGAGGAAGAGCACGGAAGCCAGGGGAGGTGCCACAGGGTCAGATCATAAAAGGTCTTAACCTCGACCACCATCTGTGCCCCCAGCCCTGGCTCGCCGTCTCTAGCAGTCCTTAAGACTCTGGAATTTTCATTCTTGCTTCCTGCCACAGACTGAATGTTTGTGTCCCCATAAAATTCCTGTGTTGAAACCTAGTGCCCCATGTGATGATGGTACCTGGAGGTGAGGCCTTTGGGAGGTCATGAGGGTGGAGCAAAAGACACAGCGAAAAGACAGCTGTCTATTAACCAGGAAGAGGGTCCTCACCAGACACGGAATCTGCCATTGCCTGGCTCTCGGACTTCCAGTCTTCAGAATTTTAAGAAACAAATTTCTGTTGTTTATAAGCCACTGGCTACTTTTGTTCTAGCAACCTCAAACAGACCAAGACACCCTCCTCCATCAATTCTCCCCAGTCACCCATCCTGCCAGGGCCTGTCCCTACTCAACTGTCACCAAACGGTTATTTCATGATAAGGTGTGAGTGACTGCTAAGCATCCCCGTTTGTATTTACATTGCCAGGCAAGTGGAAGCCAGGGCTGTTTGATTTTATCTTAGGGGCATGACTTCTGGGCTTCCTTCAACCGCCCAGAAGAAGCCACTGAGGTTGTTTGCTGTCTATGCAAATGGCAGAGGATTCCAAGAGACCTGGCTTCGAATCCAGTCCTGGCCAGGGCCTTGTTGTGACCCCGAGCAAGCCCCATGATTTTTCCGGCTCTCAGTTGCCATGTACACTGCTTGGGGACAATGTCACCCACTTAGGGTTGCCAGATTTAGCAAAATAAAACACAGCGAAGCAAAACAAACCCCAAAAGCCCAGGTGCACAGTTAAATTTGAATCTCAGATAGACAACAAATAATTTTTAGTATAAGCATGTCTTAAATATTGCATGGGACATACTTATGCTAAAAATTGATTTGTTATTTATATGAAATTCATGCTGTGTTTTATCCAGCAGCCCTACTTCCATTGCAATGAAACGGGGCCATCATGAGAAAGGGCTGTGCTACTAAATTATCTCACAGGAGGAAGGAGGTTAAGGCACAGAACAGCCTGGCACAGCCTTCTCTGCCCCTTGCTCTTGGACGAGAGCAAGACGGGGCTGGGTGCCCCTATCCTGAGCTAACAGTGGCAAAGGCAAATTTTTCCTGCGCTCACGTTGCTAATAGGTGCACCTCACACCCAGGCCCCGCCCCTTGAGTCAGGCTCTGAAGAAGCAGGAGGGCGGGATACCAAGTACAGCTCCTGCAGGAACCAAGTCTTAGGAGACCAGGCTGGAAAAACAACTCCACAGAAAGAGAGAGCCTTGTCCAAGCTTACCAACTGCACCTGCCCTGGCTGGACTAGATCTTGCACAGCCTGGACCCTTCCAGGGGCAGAGAGGGGTGACAGCCCTGGGACTCCAATCACAGAGAGCCTCACAAGACTGAAGCCCATTTACAGGCTTCAGGACCGTTCAGAGGCACTTCCCCTCCCTGGGCCTCAGTGGCCTCACCTGTGAAATGGGAGTGATGGGAATGAGACACACAGGTAATACACTTAGACGTGCTAAGCACGATGAGTGCTGTGTGTGCCCTCATGCCCCCAACTCCTCCTCCCCTCACAGAGGGGAGCGACCACATTCCTCAGAAGCATTGAAGACGTGAGAGTTGGAAGACGTGGGTTGCTGTCTCAGAGGGATTGCTACCTCGCTGTGTGACCTTGGGCAAGTCACTATCCCTCTCTGGGCCTTCATAATATCAGTGCCCTTAGAGGCATGCACTCTTCAGGAATCTAGATGAATGCTGCCGATTGTGCATTTCTCCCCTTGGCGGGACAGGGGTCCCTGCTCTGGTCCACAGCTGCACTGCTCAGTGAGGCAGCCACCAGGCACACGTGGCTACTTAAGTGTAAATTAGTCACAACAAACAACTCAGTTCCTCAGGCACACCCATCACATGTCAAAAGCACAGAGACCACCCCGTCGGGGCACGGAGCTCCTGGTCAGTGCTCGTTCAGGGGCACGAGGTAGGGAAGGGAAGAAGCAGGGTTTGTGAAGCACCTGGTGCAGCGCGGGCCGCAGACACACGGACAGGAGGGAGCCTTGTGCCAAAGGCGGGAGAGCTGCTAGGGAAGGAGCCATGTTCCTGGAGAAACCGCACTGGCCCTGGCCCAGGGACACAAAAGGGAAAGATCAATTGCATACCTTTCTGCCGACGCTGGGCAACCACGGACCTTAGGGCAGGGGGCCGGTGGCGGTA